GAAGCCGTGTTATTCCAGGTAATCGTTCACTCTACCCCCTTCTCCTCAAGCATAAGAATTTCTAAATACTCTTTTTAGTGGAAAATGTACACTAAGAAAGACTTTCCACAAATGGTTTCTTAGAGTACATTTCCATGACATACTCACTTATTTTACTTTAAGTTGAACAAGTTCTTGGAACACTTCACGATCATTTAGATAATTCATGTTTACAGGCATGTAATAATATCTCGTGATTTTTTCGTTTGATCGACATAACTAACATATCTTTTGTCAAGGATTTTTTAAAAAGTCTGCGTACATGAAATATTTCATGTAATTATTGACAAAGATTCTTGAAAACAAATCAATTTGCGATTTCTAATAGAAATGGAACTTTATTACAATGAAAGTGAAGATTTAAACATTAAATATCTTCGTCTAAAACACTTCAAAATTCTTTGTTAAGTGTTGCAATTTTATGTAGAATAAATGAGAATAAGTCAGAAGTATTGATTCATCAGCACAATAGAGAGCGAAAAAACGGTCATATGTTAAATAGGCTATATATCTCGAGTCAAGATGAACTTAATGAAAATTTTTGTTTTTGATTGGCATTTGCAATATTTTAAAAAATTTCTTTTTTTTTTGAAAAATTATATCTCTTTGTAATAATTAGTAATATAAAAATGAGTTGTTAGTAAAATCTCGTAAGAGGTGGAGCTACGCACATTATAACGTTGAGAAAATGCGTATTAGCGTTTCTTAAATTTAAGTATTTTTTATGGAATTTCATCAAAATTATTTTCTTTAGTGTTTTGCTAGTATTTTAATTTTATATCGTTGTATAATTGAAAATTACAGAATATTTACAGCCATTTTGATTGAACGTTTCTTAATTTCTTTGTTGTGATTTTGTGATTGATCGAATAAATGATTTTGAAGTAAAAGAATGGTCTTACATACAGAGACAAACAAATGTGTACAATAATCATAAAATTTTCTTTATAATTCAATAGAATTTTTTAAACATCTGACCGTTTTGGTCTTAATTTCCTAATTTATTTGCAATTGCAACGAGTCGCTTTATTTTTATTGAAGAATTTATGACTTTAAACGAAGAAAATATTTCTTTAATTACAGAGAAAACCTGTTCAGTTTTATAAACAATTTTATACATTATGTTATTTAGAAATAAAATAATTATAAACTGACGTCATCCATTTTATACGAACTGCTTCCTTGCCAACTTTACACCCTAATTCCTTGTGGAGTTAAATTTAAAATTCATACAATTATAATTTTTTTTACTTTAACATTTGAGTTTATCAATATGTTTATTTATTCTCAATTGATTTGTTAATTTACTTTTGATTTGTTAATTGTAAATTTTTCCAACTTCCCCGAAATTTTATAGTAATTTATCGATCTGCAGATCGATTAACAGTTGCAGGTGATTTGATTGTGAACTTCTGCAGTAGACAAAGTACACGTTTGTAGTCTACATTTCTAACATTTATTACATTTTTAATGACTTCCTTTATTTAACGATTGTCTGATAAAACATCAGTTTGACTGCTGTTTTTGTTTCTAAAACCTTTGCGTTTGTCTTTTCAATACAGTAGAGCGTCGATTTTCCGAATCAATTGGGGACTGGGATTGTCCGGATAACTGATTTAGTACGAAAAAATAGCTTAACGTATCCGATTTCGAAATTTTTCTCCGTTGCGTGTCGCTTTGCGTTGATTTTTCGTCGATGTTAAGCCTAACGAAGACTATTGTATCGTTAAAAATTATTTTTTTATTTTGGACAAACAAAATAAATACATTGAAAAATATAAAAATAATAAAAAATTATACTTCAGATGTTAATTTAGTATCAAAAACGTAAAATATTTGAGTTGCCCAAGTCATAGCCAAAGATTGCAGCGCCACAGCACTGGCGAAAATTTAAATTTGCCGACTGGAATTCTTTCGGATGATTGACGTTTCGGATGATTGACTTTCGGAAAATCGACGCAGAAGAAAGGAAAGCAGCAACAGAAGAAAGGAAGGCAGCAGCAGCAGAAAACAAGGCTGCTGCTTTGCATGAAATTGCTGCTTCATTAAGGAACTCTATAACAGAAGCAGAAAATCAATAAATGATTTTACAATAAAAAAGGCTCTTTTCAGGGCCATTCATTTGTGATAAAGAGTAACCAAATCTATTTTCAACCAATATATTATTACCAAGTAAATTTCACATTTCAGGAAAGTCTTTTAACTATTTACATTATGCAAAATTTTATTTTATTTTACAAATTACTAAAATGTTTCTTCTAGCAACAAAGATGGTTACTGGTTTCCATGAAAAGTTCCATTTATATACTAGATAATTATTGCATATCATTCTGTGCAAAATAAACATTATGTTCATTTTAATTATTTATACGTATTTTGTAAAAGCATATAACAGAATGTTTTATTTCAGTATAGTACAAATGCTGCTATTGTTTAAAATTTACAGAAT